CTGTATAACGTGAGCCCTCTGAAAAACCCTATGAAAAAGCAGGAATCTCACTACAACCAAGAGCTAAGAGTGGAGCATGTCCTCTGGCCTCCAAGATTCCTGTGGAGGGAACTTCCTTGTTCAGCATCAAAGGAACAGCAGTACAACCAGGCACCAGAGCAAGAGAGAGCGGTGGACTTCCTAGCCTACAGAGCAAGTAAAGCATGGTGCTTTGGGGCAAGAGGCTGGCTTGTGGGGTTGGGATGCCTTTGGGTACTTAATTTGAGGAGCTGACTTGCTGACTCACGAAGGTGTTGCTAAGTGCCTTCATGTGGTGGGTCACTGGAGTGAAGTGCCTCTGAAAACTTAAATCTCATACAGTTTGAGCTGAATGACTTTGGTTGAGGCTTACAGGAGAGTGGCATACCCTTTGGGCACTTACTAGCAACCCTAAAAGAACTTTGTGCCACATCCTGAGCATTTCTCATCTGCATTATAACCTATTAACTTCCTAGGTAAACCTTATAATCTTGAATACTGTGAGTTCTGTGTGGTCACTGCAACAAGTATTAGAACCTCAATGAAAAAGTAGAGAATACTGTTTGAGTGATAGAACACACGTGGGAACGTCTAAGAAATACACATTTTTAGGACATACCCCTAGATCACTGAAAACTCACTGCCATCCAGCCCATTCTGACTCACAATAACCCTATAGGGCAGAGTAGACCTGCTTCTTAGAGTTTCTGAGGCTGTAAATCAGAGGAGCAGACAGCCTCATCTTTCACCCTTAAAACAGCTGGTAGGTTTTAACTGTTGACCTTGAGATTAGCAGCCCAATGCTTAACCAACTATATCCCTAGGGCTTCTAAAAAGCAAGACTAAAACTCACTATCATTGAGTCAATCCTATAGGACATAGTAGAAATGCCCCGTGGGCTTCCGAGACAGTAACTCTACTGGAGTAGAAAGCCTCGTATTTCGCCTGCAGAGCACTTGGTGGTTTCAAACTGCAGATCTTTTGGATCACAACCCAACTTGCAACCGTCAGGGCTAAAAGCAAGAATAGCTTAGATAATTCTGAGAGACTGAATAGTAAGGTCAGCCCAATAAGCTATACAGTATATATTATTAAAAAAAAATTATTAAAATAGTGTAGTACTAGAAAATACAGATGGCTGAATATAGAAAATGCAAAGTAGAAATCTAACCAGAAAAAAAATTAAATTGAAATCCATGTTTCATACTTCATACCAGAATAAATTCCAGGGGAATTAAAGATAAAATATGAAGCTATAAAATAATAGGAGAAATCGC